GTCTCTCATTCTCTCTCTCTCAAATAAATAAATAAAATCTTTAAAAAAAAAAAAAAAAAGACTGATTAGTGCAACCTGTATTTGCACACATATAAGTATACACACAAGTATATGTATATTTGTGTAATTTTCATATTTTTCTTCAGATTCAAATGACTTATTTCATAACTTACCTCTTACCACACATTGACTCACTACCCATTAGTTCTCCTAGTGACCACTGCTCTTTAATAAACCATTCAGACCATTGGTAAATTTAGGGAGAGGATTAAGTAAAGACACTACAGTGTTCCACAAAGTAAATGCTGGTAATTTATTTTTAGGAAGCAGCGGCAACAGTGCTTAAACTAGTGCTTCTTAGAGCTGAGCCAAAGACCATAATGCAGATGGGAAGGTAAGGTCTATTCTCATAAAAGACTGCTTGTTTTTTAACAATAGTAATGACATGAAGGAAAAAAAGGTTAGTTGCACATACTCTCAGTTGAACCCTCAAAAAGGAGAACTTCCATATGTAAGAGGTAAGATCAAATGAGAATAATTAACACCAAATTCAAGATAGTGGTTACCTCTGCAAAGGGAAGGGAGAAAAAATGAAGTTGGGAAAGGGTAGCCATGGGACATGAATTGTATCTGTAACATTTTACCCAGATGGTAGGTCTAAAGTATTCTTGTTCTCTTATTCTCCAAACTTCTTTAGTATACCCAAAATATTTCATTAATGAAAAAGGAAACTTCCACTTGAAAAATCTTTAATAGGACCACTCTAAGCTATACTTGGGACACTACATGGTATGGCCTACACCAGTCTTGACACCATCTTGTTAGTAAAAGAACAGGTGGGAAATAAGAGCATCTATTACTTCTAGACTCATCATTTTTCTTTTTAAGAGCAGGTTTGTTTTAACCTTTATATTGTAGAATAAAACAAAATACAAAAACCACATCAAGTGAAAGTATAGCTTTATGAAGCTCTACAAGGAAACCTCCCCACCAACTGCAGCTACCACCTAAGCCAAAAATACGGAATCCTGCCAGCCATCCCCGAAACGCCCCGCCGTGCGTCCTGTCCCATCCACAGCTTCATCCCTCTTCCCCACCATTCCAGCCCCTATAGCAGTCACTTACCCTGGGTCTTCACTGCCTCAGCACCTAAATACGCAACCTCAGACACAAGAGCCTAATCCCACACAGTTTTTTTCTTTCAGTGTCTTTTACATCTCTTTAATCTATATTTTCCCCCTCCCTCCCTTTCCTTTCCTTACAGTTTATCATTGAAGAACCTGTAGAGTGTAGTTTCCCACTCTCTGGTTTTGCTGACTGCAGAATGCAGTTCACCATGTTTCACGCAGCAGGATCCACAGGCTGGATCCCTTCCACAAGACTATAGGTGCTTTTTTCCATCAGATGGTACATGTGTCTACTTCTGTCTCCTTTTGACAGGCTAGCAGCCAGTGCTATTCCTTGCCGATATCCTAGAGCCATTTATTGACTGGGGAGTGCAAAATGGTGATATTCTAGTTTTGTTCTCACTTATTAGCCAGCATGATTTCAAAAGGAGATTCTTTTCTCATCTACTATTTGCTTTCCTATATTATGCATTCTAATTTGAATCTTTTGAAGATCTCTTCCTGAATTCCTGATTCATATATTCAACTGCCTATTCCGCATCTCTGTTGGATGTCTGATGGGCAACTCAAACTTATGTCCAAAACCAAGCCCCCCCTACAGTCTTGCACTTATCACTTTTCCAGTTCCTCAGGCCTGAAACCTTTGTGATCCTCGACTTTTGTCTCTTTGACATCCAAACCTAATCCATCAGCAAATCCTGTTGCCTTTCCCTTCCAAATATCCAGAATCCGACCGCCTCCAGCCCTACCATGGGAACCACGCCACCATCATCTCTTGTCTGGGTTCCTCCATACAAAGTGAGGTTCATTTTTTTTTAATTTTCAAGAATTTCTCTCTTAGAGTTTGATTTAATAGCTTTTATAATTATGCAAAACATTCATGTGGTTCCAAAGTCAAAATGAGAAAACAACTTTTTTTAAGAAGTCTAATTCCCCCCCGCAAAAAAAGAAGTCTAATTTTCATTCCTTTCCTCTCCACACTGTTCTCCCTTCCCTCCCTAGACAGATAA